CCCAAGTACTCATTTAAGGCTGAGTCGACCTAGGTACCCAAACTATTTTTATTTTAATAAAAATAGTCGGCTGATGAAATGCCGGGTGTGGGAATCGAACCCACACCTTGAGATTGGTAGACGAGAGCCTGTACCTCTACGCCACCGGGCACCTTAGGGAAATTACCTTCAACTTCAACTGATGAGGTACATAAAACCGGTCGTAAAAAGTTGAAATTACCTTCAACTTTTTACGACCGGTTTTATGTACCAAATATCAAAATGTGTCATTGGTTTAGCTTTGTTGGACTCCTTTTTGAACTGCTTATATAAAATAAATACCTTTATTGTTAAAAAAAATTACAATTTATGGACAAAGGTAAAGTACATAAAACACAAAGCCATTGCCAAATCAAGAAGCGTCCACCATTGCTGATGCCCTTGTTAAAGAATGGATCTGCAGGTTTGGTGTTCCTATGGAGCTTCATTCAGATCAGGGAAGAAACTTCGAGTCCAATCTGTTCCAAGGCGTCTGTGAAGTCCTTAACATCCGCAGGACCAGGACGACGGCCCTACATCCACAATCGACGGGATGGTTGAGCGCATGAATAGAACCATCAACCGTTATTTGGCCAAAGTAATCTCTGACCACCAAAGAGACTGGGACAAAATTCTTCACCTGTTCCTGTTGGCCTACCGCTCATCCGTCCAAGAATCCACAGGACAAACTCCAGCCAGCATCGTTATGGGACGGAAAGTGCGCCTACCTTGTGTTCTGAAGTTTGGTTGCCGACCGGGAGAAGATGTCGCTGAAGAAGATTATGTCCACAGACTACGTTAAAGGATGGACGACATCCATCAGCGAGTCCGCCTAAATATTCAAAGCGCTAGTGACCGAATGAAGGAGCACTACGACATTCAAGCTGAGCATGGAGGATACCAACCAAAAAGTTTGGTGTGGATGTATAACCAGCAGAGACGTCGTGGATTATCTCCGAAGCTACAATCCTAGTGAGAAGGCCGATACGAAGTCATGGATAGGATTAATGATGTCGTATACTGTATCAGAAAATTGCCAAAAGGAAAACCGAGGATAGTCCATTTCAGCCGTTTGAGCCCCTATCAAGGCGAAATAGAAGATCGTACTGAGACCGTCAGAACCTGCAGCTTTGATCCCCCTGATTCGGAGATGTCCTTTGACTACTTCATGGCCCGATACTACAGTGAGAAGGCTCGCTATGGTGTGACCAAAGAAGAACAACGAGACCTCTTTTCCGTGCCTCTTGATTATTCGCTCGCTTACTGTGTGGCCCTTGATTTGCGGATGTCCAGAGGAATCGCTGCGACGTTCAATGAGAAGTTTGCACTTGAAGGTGCGATTCAATGCGTAATGAAGAAAATGATGTTATGGATTTGATTTCAAATGGCAGGTGATTTTTAAAAAAACCAAACTTTTAACTAACTCTTAGCGTGGGGTAGGTAAATAAAGATCTTGCTCCGCGTTCCTGAGTGGATAAGTGTGAGATGGCCTTTCTTCAGAAGCTGATACATGCTTAGGTATTAGGCAAACGGATTCAAATATAAATAAGGAAGGAAGAGTTAATATTTTTAATTTTTTAAAAAAGTCCTGGTAATGAGTTCTGCTGTTTAGTCCCAGTGAATATCGAACATCTCTCTTCTGGAGCTTGAAAATACGGTCAAATTGAGTCGCACACAACACGTACCCCAGAATGGAAGGGCATACCTGAGGTGCGACTCAAAAAGTGCGTAATAAACAGGTCTAGCCACTGACAAGTTAAGCTCCTTAGAAACAGATCTTAATGCAAAACACAGGCAGAGCTCAATTTTTTCGAGAAAGCGTCGATATGCATGTCCCATTTTAGAGAATTGTCTACAACAAGCCTTAAGAATTTTACAGATTTTACGACGTCAATGGTGGTGTTATTAAGTACAAAAGGCTGCAGCGAGTTTTTATACGACAAAGCTTTAGTTTTAGAAATGTTGAGACTCAGGAGGTTCGAATCGTACCAAGACTTAATTTTTTGATTTTTTTTATATAATCCTCTGAAGGGCCGTGACGTCCTTGTTGCTCCAAGTGAAGCTAGTCTCGTCCGCAAAAAGGCATATTTTACCACTGAAGTATTTTGATGTAAGTTATTATTTAAAACGTTATTTATTTAAAATTATTTACTATTATAGATTTTGTATCCCTCTCCCCCAGCTAACTCCCCTCCTAAACATTCTACATTATTCAAAACATTTATTTTTAACTTTAATAAAATGATATCCCTAGAATTTTTCGGTGTGTGTATTACCTAACGTAGCAAATTGAACTATTAAATATTTAATGAAAAAGAACAAAAGAAAATCCTTCTAAATAATTAATACTTAAATAAAGAATAATTACACTAAAAATACTTCGAATGAATTATTTCAGATTATCGGCTTTGATAAAGCGAGAAATATTGGTATTTAAAATACAAGTAATAATCCCGTGTGGCAAACGTTAAATCAAGTGAAAAATTTTTATAATCCTCATTAAAAATCTGATCAGCTTTTCACCGTGGCGGAGCCGCCTGCAACGAATTCAAAATGGCGCCGGATAATGGC